CATAATTTGAAAGGCATACACCTGTCTATATAAGGCCCCAGGGTTGACAGTGCATGTCAAAGCACAAACCAAGCATGAAGACAAAGGAAATGTCTGTAGACCACCGAGACAGGATTGTCTCAAGGCACAAGGCTGGGGGAGGTTACAGAAAAGTTTCAATGAGCACAGTGCAGAACGTTACAGAAGGACAACCATCTGTGCAGTAGTCCGCCAATCAGGCCTAATCAGTGGGTAGACAGAAGCCACTCCCTGCCAGGAATTTGCCAAAAGGCATCTGAAGGACTCTCAGACCATTAGAAACAAAATTCTCTGGTCTGATGAGACTAAAACTGAACTCTTTAAAGTAAATGGCAGGCGTTACATTTGGAGAAAACCAGACACCGCTCATCACCAGGCTAATACCATCCTTACGGTGAAGCATGGTGAAGGCAGCCTCATGCTGTGGGGATGTTTTTCAGCTGCAGGAACTGGAAGGCTAGTCAGGATAGAGGGAAAGATGAATGCAGCAATGTACAGAGACATCCTGAATGATAACCTGCTTCAGAGTGCTCCTGACCTCAGACTGGGGCGATGGTTCATTTTCCAGCAGGACAATGACCCAAAGTACACAGAAAAAATATCAATAGAGTGGCTTCAAAACAACTCTGTAAATGTCCTTAAGTGGCTCAGCCAGAGCCCAGACCTAAATCCTATTGAACATCTCTGGAGAGATCTGAAAATGGCTGTACACCGTCGCTTTCCTTCCAACCTGATAGAGCTTGAGAGGTACTGCAAAGAGGAATGGGCAAAAATTTCCAAAGACATATGTTTTTTCAGGTTTTATTTTTAATAAATTTGCAACAATTTTATTTTCACAACAATTTTTACATTGTCATTATGGGCTATTGTGTGTAGAATTTTGAGGAAATAAATGAATTGAATCCATTTTGGAATAAGGCTGTAACAAAAAAATGTGGAAAAAGTGAAGCGATACGAATACTTTCCGGATGCACTGTATGTTGCCTGTTCAGCCAGAAGATTTGGGTAGTTTGCTTTGGATCGTGTGATGTACATTTAAGCCTTCAGGACATTTAGTTAATAATTAGTTGTTGATTCACCTGAGTAATCTTATTTACCACATGGGGAATTTGAACTTTGCTTTGATGATACTTGAGTGACTCACATGTACTGTAAAAATGGTTAATTGAACATATTTCCAACATGTGCTATAGACTACACTAGTGCTCACACCCTTTCTCAGCAGCACTGGATGTTCCCCATTATTTTATAGGGATTTTTATTTTTAAATTAAGGGGTTAATATAAGCCATAAACCCATTCAAACAAGTATAAGAAGAATCACAGCATTACAAACATTGCTTTTAGGTAAATATGCAGTGCGTGTGTATGTGCGTTATTTCATTTATTTGCCCACAAGATCAACTTTACTTTAAAACATTAAACAGTTTTAATTTAAAATCAGTTGCCCCATAACATTTGCACTGTTCCTTAACTCAAATATAAGACAGATGGGACTCTTTTTTTATTGTTTTTCAGATCACTATTAAAGTGTATAAAGTGTAAGGTACAAAACTGAACGCATTGTACAGAAATTATAATTAAACTCAAATGTTTTTAAAAATATGAATATATAATAAATAATGATAATGAAAATAAATAATACAAAAATGAAAAAATTTAAACAGATGGATTCAACAAAAGAATAACAACCCTGGAGCTCACTCCGTTATTATAAAAAATCAGTTTTACTACATAGAAAATGTGTGTTTTTCCTGAACCTGGCTGTTCCTATAGAATATAATTACTCTCTCAACTGTGCAGCCTAATAAAATAATTCTTTTTAAAGGTAATATTTCAGTTTTATTTATATAGCACTATTAAGCACAACCAAATGTTGACCAATGTGCTGCACAATACATATCACAAAAAGAGATAAATATAAAGCTATAACTAAAAGAGGGCGTTACTTAGACCACGTGATTATGCACACGTAATGCATCAACAGTGTCTATGAATGGAGGTTGTTAACAGCAACACATCCTGTAGCAGCGACAAAGAGAAACTGCTCACTACCGAGTGAGAAGAGCTGCTGTGAACTTTAGTGGACCACTGCTAACTTCCACCTGTTTAGGCTATTATACTGTTATAAACAACTCTTTAGAAATATATAAATAACACTAGTAAAATGTATAATTCAAAATGCCAAATTTAGAAATCTAATTGATTGAACAAAATTGATTATTCGTTGTTTTCCAAAAGAAATACATTTTTATTTCAAATTCTTCATTTAACTTTTTCAATTAAAATCAACACATTCAGAAACAAACTGTAAATTAAATTAAAGATATATTGTTCAAAAAGTGAGATGTCTGAGATGTCTGTTTGCAGCTGGGTGTGCACCTTTATGCATGCATTGCTTGCGCACATTGTGGTTTGATGATTTTCCAACCACAACACTGACCTCTTGCTTCTGTTTTGAAGCCCCTCTGAATCAAAACCACAGCAACATCCTTTTCAACACATAAACACTGCTGGTTATTTGAAGAATCATCAAACCACTGCCCAATTTATCATCAAAATAATCTATCTGAAACACACACACACACACACACACTTCAGAGTTTGAGAGCATGACCAGTAAGAGCTTTATTGCAAACGAACTACAGTACTGAGAAACTGCAAAGCTTTGTGAATTTCATTAAATAGTTTTCAAAATGTTGCTACTCTAACAAAACTACAATATGTGTCATATGTGTTGATTCCTGTCTCAGTCTGTGTGTTTAATATGTCCTTTTAATATTTGATATGTGATTTAATATGTTCATAATTACCTAATGCACAATACATCGTTGTGGTTTTGTCAATGAGATTTCCCTCTATAAGGAAAGGGGAAACATTTAGAGACATACCGCCCTCTACTAATATTTGATATGTGATTTAATATGTTCATAATTACCTAATGCACAATACATCGTTGTGGTTTTGTCAATGAGATTTCCCTCTATAAGGAAAGGGGAAACATTTAGAGACATACCGCCCTCTACTGGAACATTTTGTTACTGATTGTTGTCAACCTCCTCAAACAATAGCAAAACAAGCAAGACACTCAAAAAAAAGATTCTTATTGCTGTCACCAAAGGGATAGTTCACCCAAAAATAAAAATTCTATCATCATTTACTTACACGATAACCTTCTGTTTTTCAGCATTCTTCAGAAAATGTTGTTTAGTGAATACAAACATTAAATGAGTAAATGATGACAGAATTTTTTATTTTTGTATGAACTATCGCTTTAATACCATTTGCCTTGTTTTATATAGGTCTATAGTGTCTATGGTATATTGTAATACAGCTTTGTAGAACTTCTGAAACTGTGAGAATTTGTTTGCATATTGTTGTAGAACAGATGGGGGACTGAGATAATAAATCTAGCAGGCTTAATATAAACAGTAAAAATGCCTAAAGTTTAAATCAAACATCAGAGTTGTATTAAGCAATATTTCTTTTTGTTTTGCCCATTGGGAATTGAATGGATCACTATGCTTTGCTATTGATGAATATCATGTGAATGACAAGTTATTGCCCCGCCCTCATGGCAAATTGAAAGCATGCATTGCTTGTGCATATAAAAAGAAGAAAGAAGTAATAGTAAATGTTATTGCATAAATAGGGGAAGTTATTCTGATCAAGCAATATATAAACATAGGCAGAATGGATGTGAGGATAAATAGTTGAAAATATAGTATTCTGTATAAAGGAAGAGCTGTCAGTTTTGATTTTCACAGTGACTTTGGAAAGCTTGAATTGTAGTAACTGATTCTCTCATCAAGCCTGACAGCACCACATGATGGCATCTGCTCTGCTTTGCATGTATTTGATAAACAAAAGCTTTAATGAGGTGTGCAGCAAGAACTGCACTGTGGTTTCACTTATAGTTGACTTACACCTTTATAATTAACTCTACTGTTTGAATTAAAAAAAAAAAAAAAAAAAAAATATATATATATATATATATATATATATATATATATATATTTCTTAAATGAGCAACCTTTGGTGTATTAAAGGCAAAATTCACCTGAAAAGAAAAAAAAATCACTTTTTACTCACTCACCCTTAATTTTTCCCAAACCAAAGATGTTTTGAAAAGTGTTTGAAACCTCAACCATTGATATCTATAGTGGTGAGAAAATATTATGGAAGTTAGTCAATGGTTACGGTTTTTAAAAAGCGTTTAAAATATCTTCCTCCTGTAAAAAAAAAGACAAAAGAAACTCAAACAAGTAAAGGGTGAATAAATAATGACATATTTTTCATTTTTGCAAGAACTATACCTTTAAGATGCAAGAAAGATTGTTCCCATGTAGAGATGAATAAATTTCATAATAATCAGAAAAAAAGGCAGTGCTTCAGCGCAGAATGAGGCCTTTTCAGTTAAACTTGGCTGCAGTTTAATTATAGCAGTAATATATGATTTGGCTAAAGCATACAATAGTCAGCATTTGGAGATAATTATTCTGAGGGATAAACTGCATGAGTGTGGGAATGTGTTCAGACTTACAAGCCTTGGGTTACACTTAGAATATAAAGGTGAAACGAATATGGTTACATCAATTGAATACATTTGTTAATCCTATTTTGAGACTTTCTATCTCCTAGACTGACCTATTTTTATTTCTCGATGTCAAAACCACACAAATTAGTATTGTTACTAAAATATTTCCATACCTAAAAGCTGTTAAATCTGATCATCAGTACCCAATTACCATTACCCAATTCACCTATACCATGTCTTTGGACTGTGGGGGAAACGGACCACACCCGGAGGAAACCCACATGAACTTGTGGAGAACACACAGAAATGCCAACTGACACAGCTGAGGCTCGAACCAGCGACCTTCTTGCTGTGAGGCGACAGTGCTACCCACTGTGCCACCCATTATAATTTATATTAAAATAAATATTTAACAATAAATAATATTGTTTTAATTATCCCAGAGACATAATCAACATAAACTATTGTATTTAAATATAAAATAACTAAAAACCTTGACTTAAATTAATAACGTTTAGCATGCCTTTTAGCCCTATTATGCCCTAGAAATCAACACATAATTCCCTCAAAATATAAATCCATAAATCATGTATTACATTAGTAGCTTAATTCAATAATGTAATAGTGAAAGTCTGCATCAGTTATCAGAACTCAACGGTTTAATAGTTAACATTTATTAAAACCGTGTTTGTTTAAATGCCTTTTTTTTTTTTTTTTGAAATGTTTCTCAGCTTGTTTTCAGATCAAACCCACTCCTGTGCACTTTGCTCTGGTTGAGGCTCTGCAGTGTGAATGTCGGCCTATATAAAGCTCTGCTTGAAGCCTCTTGTTTGATTCTAAACCCTGAACGTGATGAGTTCTCACGGCAGACAGTAAATACGTAAGTCTGTTTTAAAACTATTTCTCCAAGATCATGGTATGTACATGTTAAAAACGTGTTTCTTAAAATGTAAACTTTCTGTATTGTGTTTATCTTTTCTAGCTGAAAAAATGACAGGTACAGTAACGTTTTTTTTAAATATCTGCACTTGCAAATGGTCGAAAGTTCTGCAGTATACAAATACATAATGACTTCAATGTTAATGTTGCAATTCATCTCTATAAACTGCACCGCTTTTTGAATGCAAATGATAACTTAAGTTTAATACATTTGGTGGTTGAATAAAATTTAAAATATAATAATATTTAACAGAAAAACATCACGCATTTCAATGAAACACAATAGAATATTTAATTTAGTTTTAAAAAATATATTTAAATGATATTATTTGACTGATAACAGCTTATTTTGCCCCAAGAAACATTTGTAGATTAATTATCAATTGAATATTAATTTGATTATCAATTTCTCTAGATTTATGGATTTAAGTAAAATGTTTTTTTTTATTATTAAGGGCCTGATAATTTTTTTTCCAAATTCAAATAATAATAATACTAGTAATAATAATAAATAATAATAATAATTAATCCAGTCACAATACAAAATAGTCAGAATAATCAACATATTTATTTATTTATTTTTAGTCATTCTGAAGCTGCAAAATTGTAATGTGTTTTCTGAAAAAAAGTAATATAAACATTTAAAAATTTTTGTTATTAAATGCGAAACAAATACTCGTAATAACTTTTTTTTTTTTTTTTGGAAGAAATGTCATCAGTAGTTTACAGAAATTAACAAAATACATTTTAGTAACCACATAACTATAAATTGTAAATCCACAGTCAAAATTATCTTGCTGCTTGTTCAAACTATTTTAACTATTTTAACTATTTAAATTCTTGAGTTTTTATACAACTTAAATGTTTTGTGTTCAATCCACTTACATTTGTAAAAACAGTTAAGTTAACTTTATCATTTTTTGGGGGGACAATTTGAACTAATTGTGCGGAACCCTGAGAACTTTAAAAGACTGACAACTTTTTTTCAGTTTTCCTTATCTGTGTATTTATTCTCATCTATTCAAGAAATACCATTTATACGGTATTTTTTTTTGACTCATTGTCATTTTGGTTAATGTAGAATGCACAGCCCTCTTCCAGACAGTGTTTGCTTGTAATATCCTGATTTTGCTCTTCAGTGGATTTGTGAACATTATTCTCAGTGGAAGACTGAGAAGAACAAAATGTAAACTGTGTTCAGGTAAATCACAGTTTAATCCTTTTACTCACTTTGAATTGTATTTTCCAAAATGCTAAATAAAACCATGTTGTTGGTTTTTGTATATGTAGATACTTAATGGACATTTAATAGCAGTGTAATAAAAGGTTTAATGTTTCTTTGGTTTAATTATTGTTATTATTATGTTTATTTTGTTGTCGTTGGTATTATTGTAGCTTTTTATGACTTTATAATTAAATTTTCTTCGTATTGATTTTCACAGCACATCATAAAAATCTTCATGCTGTGTCTGCTTCTCAACCAAGCGCATCTGTATCAGACGTTAGTAATTGGGTTTATCTTTTGAGCTAACTTATTTTACTTTGCTTCTGCTTTTTAACATTATTTTTCTTCCTAGGATCAAGAGAGTATAGATGTGAACTACACAGTTCTGCAGTTTCCTCTAGAAAACACAAACCCAGAGAGTTCAGAGAATGAGGAGAGAGAGGAAAGAGGGAAGAGAACAATTTATTCCAGCCTGAAATGTCAAATCTCCAACATCACCGAGGAAAACTGAGGAAAGGTCTGATGACTATACTGAATGTGTTCTAGATGTAAATAAATACATTACATAGTTCATGAATGCATTCAGACTAAATTGTGAATTACCTAAGGTGTTTTACAAATGCATTTCTTTTCTTCTTCCATGTCAGATTATACTACAATCTATAATTTCTCCATACAGACCTTCAAATAAGTTATAACATCAAGTTTTTTTCTTCAGTAATATATAAATGCACTGTACAGCAAATATACACTACAAAAATTATAATATTCAAATACAGCTGTGTAATGGTGTATCTGAAAGGTACAGAACTGTTATAAATATATCTTTAAGGCACAAAAAAGGTACATTAATAACAAAAAGTACAATTGTGGACCTCATTGTACATTTAAGGCACCATCAGTGACAGGTTTGGACCCTTGTTTCTGAGTGTATGCAGTAAAAATGATTTTAAAAAGGATTCATCCTAATAACCTTTAACATTTCATTAATCAGCTGTCAATAATTAACATATAGTGTTCAAGTAAGCCTGTCTTTTTTTCCAAATTGTTCTTCTTTTTCCGAAATGTATTAAATTAATTAATTTCCTTAAAATTCTACACACAATTCCCTATAATGACAAAGTGGGAAAAAAAAAAAGAGTTTTTGAAATTGTTGCAAATTTATTAAAAATAAAAAAGCTGAAAAATCACATGTACATAAGTATTCACCGCCTTTACCGTGAAGCTGTAAATTGAGCTCAGGTACATTCTGTTTCCACTGATCATTCTTGAGATGTTTCAGCAGCTTAATTGAAGTTCACCTGTGGTAAATTCAGATGATTGGACATGATTTGAAAAGGCGTACACCTGTCTATATAAGGCCCCAGGGTTGACAGTGCATGACAAAGCACAAAACCAAGCATGAAGACAAAGGAATTGTCTGTAGACCACCGAGACAGGATTGTCTCGAGGCACAAGGCTGGGGAAGGTTATAAAAAGATTTCTGCAGCTTTGAAAGTTCCAATGAGCACAGTGGCCTCCATCAGCCGTAAGTGGAAGATGTTTGGAACCACCAGGACTCTTTCTAGAGCTGGCTGGCCAACTAAGCTGAGTGATCGAGTTAGAAGGGCCGTAGTCAGGGAGGTAATTACCAACCCGATGGTCACTCTGTCTGAGCACCATTGTTCTTCTGTGGAGAGAGGAGAACCTTACAGTAGGACAACCATCTGTGCAGCAATTCACCAATCAGGCCTGTATGGTAGAGCGGCCAGACAGAAGACACTCCCTGCCTGGAATTTGTATCTGAAGGACTCTCAGACCATAGGAAACTAAATTCTCTGGTCTGATGACACTAAAATTGAACTCTTTGGAGTGAATGCCAGGCGTTAAGTTTGAAGAAAACCAGGCACCACTTATCACCAGGCTAACACCATCCCTACAGTGAAGCATAGTGGTGGCAGCATCATGCAGTGGAGATGTTTTTTAGCAGCAGTAACTGGTGGACTAGTGCAGCAATGGACAGAGACATCCTGAATGATATCCTGCTTCAGAGTGCTCTTGACCTCAGACTGGGGCGACGGTTCATCTTCCAGCAGCACAATGACACTGCCAAAATATTAATGGAGTAGCTGCACAACAACTCGGTGAACGTCCTTGAGTGGCCCAGCCAGAGCACAGACCTAAATCCTATTGAACATCTCTCGAGAGATCTGAAAACGGCTGTACACTGTCGCTTTCCTTCCAACCTGATAGAGCTTGAGAGGTACTGCTAAGAGGAATGAGCAAAAATTCCCAAAGACAGGTGTGCCAAGCTTGAGGCATCATATTCAAAAATTCTTGAGGCTGTAATTGATACAAAAGTGCATTAACAAAGTATTGAGCAAAGGCTGTGAATACTGATGTACTTGTGATTTTTCAGGTTTTTATGTTTAATAAATTTGCAACAATTTAAAAAAATAATAATTGTGGGGGATTTTGTGTAGAATTTTGAGGAAATTAATTTAATCCATTTTGAAATAAGGCTGTAACATAAAAAATGTGGAAAAAGTGAAGTGATATGAATACTTTCCGGCTGCACTGTATACATGAATGTGTGTGTGAAAAAATACAGGTCTTTGTACAATGGTCACAGATGAAATGCCATTCATCATTTTAAATGTACAAATGTGATTTAATGTGTGGACACTAAATTTTGTGATGGTTTTATTGATGTATAACTTCATATTGACATGTAAAGTAAAATATTTAAAAATGGCAAATAATTAGTATTTGGGACTGCATTGTAATTCTTTCCTGCTGGAAAAAAAAAAAACAGCTGAAACTAGCCTAAACCGGTTTTAGCTGGTCGACCAGCCTGGTTTGTTAGAGGTTTTGGCTATTTGCAGGCTGATTTCAGCCATTGCCTGGTCTTTGCTGATCAGGCTGGAAGGTGATACTGGTCAAAGTGCCACAACAGTTACCTAAAAGTATGTCTCAAAAAAAAAATATATGGTAGGCTACGTGCAACAACATAGTCAAGAAGTATGCACATTATTTACAAAACCAATGTGCAAGCCTGCTGTAAATTTTCCTGTTCACACGAAGGGTTTTTTCGTGAGCATGTGGCAGCAGAAGTCTCGTGTTGGTTTCCGCCCTGAAAATGCCACTTTAGGGCTTTCCACATGTAATTTTAATAACTTTGTTTGCTATTGACAAGTATGAATAGACTAATTTAATTTAAAAAAAGGTTCTTGTATTCTTTTGGCTGTACAGACCTCAAACACAATGTCATACAAGCAGACCATGAGCAAATGGAAATGTTGTGGTGATGAATAGTAACTTTCGTTTTGACTATAAGTTTAGCTGTATGATAATGTATGTATAAAAGGAAGCGTGGCACCAAACCCCACCCCTAAACCCAACCGTCATTAGGAGATGAGCAAATTGTACTATGTATAAATGATCCTGTACAAATACATAAGAATTAACCACTAAATCAAAAAAGTTACAAACTGGCATGAGATAGCATTGACATTGCATGCATCACTTTATTGATGAGCGACATGAAAACATCTTATTTTGTTTTTAAATTCTGGAAAGTCATTTGTAGTAGGACTTGCAATTGTGGTAAATAATGTAAATAAACCAATTTTTAAATGCTGTATTAGTAACTACTTGAAATTCAACATTGAGTATAAAACTCCTATATCCATATTATGATTGTGCTTTTCTATTGAAGGCAGCTCAGCAGCTCAAAGCAAAAGTGGCAAGTTCACTTTTTGAATAAATGAATATGAATAGATCTGCATGGAGTAGCCTACCAACCCCTTCACCCCAAAACAAGCATTACACATGCTAATTATTTCTGATTTGAAACAATTATAAAGGTTTTGTTAAAATTAACAGAGCTTCATCAAATGTCTATCATCATCCTGTGGAAGTTGTTACTGAAAAAAAGCTGCTATCTAAGAAAGCAAGATTTCAATCAACCACTAGTGAAAAGAAGCTTCAGCATAAAAGTACTTTAAATAATATGCTTTTCATGACCAAATGTGTATTTTGTTGAGCAATATATTTGTCAAAGTCTGTCAAAAGAAAAAACCTGGAGTGACAGTGGAAATGAGACTAATGCTTTATAATGTCAAAAAGTGTTGCATATTAATAATGTAATATCTTGTTCATTCATTTTCTTTTCGAATTAGTCCTATTATTAATCAAGGGTCGCCACAGTGAAACGAATCGCCAACTTTAATGTAATAAATATTCATTTTTAAAAATGAATGCAGTTTTTTTTCAGTCTCTCTGTTTCTAATACTTCTCTTCTCTGTCCAGAACTCCACGGTGCAGATTTCCATCAAAATTATTGAAGATCACCATACTGACCCAGAGCTGATTAACATCTATAAATTATGATCCAGTCCACACATACGCTGTCGTGGTTATGATGAAGATGATCTCAGAGGTTAGACAGACTACATCAGTTTTCAACAGTACCCGTGCCTTGTTTTACTCCGATACACCTGAATGGGCTTCAAGACCCGTATACAGTAAAAAGATATCGAGTAATCTAAGTGTGTTGTCCAGTATTTTTTTCTCTAGTTGATTGTTTCCTCTTCATCCAAACTAAATCTGAACTATGAATCTTGAACATTTCAGTCCAAATTTTCAAAAAAAAAAAGGCCAGTAACTTTAACCCTCATTTCTTTACAAATAATCAACTTCATTCAATTCATTGATAGTTATTAAAGTGTTTTTGTAGATAAAAAAATAACCCATTCAAATAATAATGAAAAAGACACTGGCCAGACAGTCAGTAGGTCATGCTCTACAAATATTTGTGTAACAAATGTTTAAAGAAATGACATTCTTAGCTAAAACAAATCTGCTGAAACTGAAAGAGCAAATTATTCATTTATGCAAAATTAGAAATACAAACTCCAAATTTTGCGTGACTAAGAGATCTCAAAACTGTGGGAAAGCAATTGAGTTAGTGTATGTATTAATAGGACTTTTAATCCATAATTTAAGCATATATACATATTACATTTACATATTAAAATATACATTTTATTTAAAAAAATACATATAATCCATAATATTAGCACTGCAGAATAAAAGTGACTGTTTTGTTTTTAGTTAAAGAATTGTTCAGCCTCAAAATATAATTTTATCACCGTTATGTTTATGACTTTAATATTTGTATTCATTTAAGATGTTTTTCACCTGTTATTTTCAATTTGTGAACAAAAACAGTTTAAACATTTTTTTAAATTATCTTTTTTTATGGTCCACAGAAAAAAAAATAAAACGTGTTTTCAATGACAACAGTTATTTGTTAGATTTGTATATATAGTCAAGACTGAAATTATTCATACTCATAAGAGTTATGAATATTTTTTAAAAAAGAAATATATATCACTTGTAGGGCTTCTTGATGCAGACAAAATTAAGTCTCTTTTCACAGTCTATGGCTTTCCAAACCTTCTTATTTCTATCCAGAGCTCCGCAGCGCAGATTTCCAGCAGGACACTTGGGTTCCCCCTCCACAGACCAGGCTTTATATTGAAGATCTTCACCACTGACCCAAAACCAATGACCAGCCATGAAGCGCAGACCAGTCCACACAAAATCTGTTTGGGATTTTCCTGTGACATTTATAACCTCTGCCTCAATCATCTCTGAGCTTAAACTCACCAGGTCAATGTAATGCTGTCTGCAATAGTCCAGGGCTTCATTCCACGCCTTATTCTGACTCACCAAAACTGACTCGACGGCATCCATACAATAAAAAGACAGCATATCAGAGCAAAGAGTATCGTGTAGCTTAGAAGTAGATTGTTTTAGCGAAATACAATTCTCAGAGCTATCGTCTGGTTGGTCTGTATCCCAGTTGTCCACTTCTTCCACCTGACCTCCAGACCATATCCATTCATCTGCACGGTCTGGATCTTCATAAAGCCCAATCCAGCTAAATGAATATGTAGCATCTGTATTACTGGAGAGCAGCTGTGCTTCTTCTTTGGTCATGGTGGACAGGTCACTGTGGTGTTTTCTGCAGTACGTCTGTGCATCTATCCAGGTCATTTGTTCCGTCACAAAAAAGTGTGTTCTGAAACTGGTGTTGAGTCCAAGGAGATTTAAAACAACAAAAAAAGCGATTGTTGCCTTCATTTCTATACTGATGATCTCCTGTGATGCCCATTTATTGTGTTCAGCGATGGTGTTACACCTTTAGGATGTTTTTGTCTCTTAAATAAAAAGCCCAATAAGTAAAGGCACTAGCCAATCAGACTGCTGTATACTCTTGAAGTATTTGTGTAACAAATGTTTAAAGAAATCATTGGTATGATCCTCATCTGTTTTTTTTAACAATTGTTTTTAATATAAAAATAATAATTAAAGGATTTAAGTGAAATCCTTTTAAAAATATACTTTTTTATGATTGAAGAATTATAAATTCAGTCTCAAACCCCTATGCTACTCTTCTAAATATTTTGTAACATTTCATTAGTTCAACAGATATAGAAGCAGATATTATTGGACACCAATGCATTTGGGAAATGCAGAATTACAGCTGATCGCAGTGTACAGTACAGTAAATATTTGATTCAATAAAATGGGCAGATAGATAAGTTTCTAAATAAAACTGTAGTGCTGTATGTTTTCTTGTAGTACAAGACAAATCGTCCATAAAAAACAAATCTGTAGTAGTTAAACTGTAACCAAAAATTACACATCATGATTTTGCTGCACTAGTTTAACCATTGTATTTGTGTTAAAGCAGTGGTTATGCAAATGGTAACGAGTGCACAAAAACAAGACTACTGCAATTTTAATACAGTAAAATCTTGGTTAATTTATGTTGGGGAATTTGCATGATATTTTTGTCCACATTGATGGATATAGACATACTCAAAACCCAAAAGTCTTAAAGAACCATTGAAATGATCTTTTGGGGTGATAGAAACACAAGAAGTCTCTCTTTTTCTTTTTTTTAATTTCCTAACATTACAATAGAATCCAAATCCTTCCTATTTTTAAGGCGTGACATATGAGTGCAGTTGCCCCGCCCACCGAATAGATTGACAGCCTCATATTAACATTTCTCAATAGTGACAATATAATCAGAATAAAAAGACAGGGAGTGCGCAAAGCAACTGGGATTAAAAGATCTGTTCAGCGCTCTGTGATCATCAATCATCATCAAATGTGATCAAGAATGAGTTTTACAAGTTTAAAATGATTCTAAAACAGTAAATGGCTGTAATTCATTTCAAACATGCACTATCTTTATCACTACAGCTGCATTTCAGTACAATTCTAAAAGAAGACGCTTCAATAACCTGATGTTAAATCAGGATTATTTTGTACATTAACAAAGGATCTCCATACAGCAGTGGATATAAACTTGTATCCTGTCACATTTGTCGTGCAAAAACACTGCAAAGTTAAATGCACTCCCTTTGTGTATGTCCGCTATATCTGTGTGCGTGAACTTTGTAACAACATTGCGCATGACTCATCATTGCAGAAAGGCTTGAAATAACTCCACAACAAATACATCAAATAATCATTGGGAAAGTTCTTACAGTAGTATTTCTCACAAATGTCATGCGAGATCTGCTTTCTTCATGTCTGTCACTGTGCTGTTTATCTGAGGCAGCCGGAGACTGAGTCACATTGTGACAGGCACATGGAAACGGTGGGCGGGGAGAACTAGCATTAAAGGCACATACTGAAAAAACAACTACATTGTGTTTAGAGCAGTAAATTCCAATATTCTGAAAGGTATAATAAATAATCTGATGGGTGTTTTGAGCTGAATCTTTACAGACACATTCTGGAGACACAAAAGACTGATCTTAAATCTTGTAAAAGGGGTAAAATTAAAGCCCTTTAAAAGTAAACAAAGCAGCCGGAACACACACAATTGTTTGCACTAGCTTTGTGAGGACTTTTATTGTTTTATACAAACCTAACAGTACTAATACGTACAGCATTCCAAGCATGCCCTTCAACCAAACATTTTCATCTTTTCTGATAAACTTAATTTAGCCAAGTTTTGAGTCAAAAAGTCTTTTGGCAAATCCTGACCAATACACTCATTCTGTTCCAGTATGTCCATTTCTGTAGTGATTTACATATGCAAAATGCATGTATCAGTGACAAAGTATGTCAGAGGTTGTTCTATTTCCTTAGGCAGGCCTGGCCCTAACCAATTTACCCCTCTAGACAAGATTCCAGGTGGTGCCCCATCGCATCGCAGTAAATTCCACTGCTAGTGTACATATACTTATGAGAAACTTGATAGCTTTGTCTTGAACATTCTTTTATTTAAATAAGATATTGCATGCTTAAAATACTTGGAAGGATTTGCAATGGTGGGACTGAGAAACCTTAACAGTGCATATGAAGACAGAAGAGAATGTGACACCAGTCTAATTAATAAACACTTGAACTCAAGAATGAAATAATATGACATAATATAAAAGCAAAACCTAGAGGTACATGCATGATGTAGATTATACTGCATAATAGACCATGTGCTTTTTCTTATTTACAAATTATAGTAGTAATTCATAAATTAGCAACAAATAAAATTATATTGTCATTACAGTGAAATGCTAATTAGCAGAATAAGTAAACCGCAGTATAATATATTAGAGCATCTGTTTTCAAATCAGCTATTTGTTAAATTTGTATATACAGTCAAACACCTGAAATTAATTATACCCAAGTTATGAGTATGGCCTTAAATATATATGTATGTATGTGTGTGTGTATATATATATATATATATATATATATATATATATATATATATATATATATATATATATATATATATATATATATATATTAAAGCTTCCTGATGCAGACAAAACTAAGTCTCTTTTCACAGTCTTTGGCTTTCCAAACCTTCTTATTTCTATCCAGAGCTCCGCAGCGCAGATTTCCAGCAGGACACTTGGGTTCCCCCTCCACAGACCAGGCTTCATATTGAAGATCTTCACCACTGACCCAAAACCAATGACCAGCCATGAAGCGCAGACCAGTCCACACAAAATCTGTCTGGGATTTTCCTGTGACATTTATAACCTCTGCCTCGATTATCTCTGAGCTTAAACTCACCAGGTCAGAGTAATTCTGTCTGCAATAGTCCAGGGCTTCATCCCACGCCTTATTCTGACTCACCAAAATTGTCTCTACGGCATCCATACAATAAAAAGACAGCATATCAGAGCAAAGAGTATCGTGCAGCTTAGAAGTGGATTGATTTAACGAAACACAATGCTGAGTGTTATCATCTGGTTGGTCTGTATCCCAGTTGTCCACTTCTTCCATCTGACCTCCAGACCAAATCCATTCATCTGCACGGTCTGGATCTTCATAAAGCCCAATCCAGCTAAATGAATATGTAGCATCTGTATTACTGGAGAGCAGCTGTGCTTCTTCTTTGGTCACGGTGGAAAGGTCACTGTGGTGTTTTCTGCAGTACGTCTGTGCATCTTTCCAGGTAATTTGTTCAGTCACAAAAAAGTGTGTTCTGAAACTGGTGTTGAGTCCAAAGAGCCCCAAAAGCAAGAGCACAGCGATTGTAGCCTTCATTTCTATACTGATGATCTCCTGTGATGCCCTTTATTGTGCTCTTACACCTTTACGTTTTTTTTTTGTCTCTTATAAGAGCCCAATAAGTAAAGGCACTAGCCAATCAGACTGCTGTATACTCTTCATGTATTTGTGTAACAAATGTTTAAAGAAATCATGATTGATTGCAAACAAGCGGATGATTGATATGGTCCTCAGCTGTTTTGCAAGACGATTGTTTTTGATATAAAAACATATAAATTAAAGAATTTGTTAAGTGAAATCCTTCTAAAAGTATGTTAAAATAGACTTTTATATAAGATATTAAAAAATGATCAATTAAAGGATTTAAGTGAAATCCTTAAAAAATATACTTCTTTAACTCTATGCAAGTCTTCTAAATATTTTGTAACATTTCATTAAGTGAGTTACAGATACAGAAGCAGATATTATTGGACACCAATGCATTTGGGGAATGCCGAATTACAGCTGATCGCCGTGTACAGTACAGTAAATATTTGATTCATTAAATAGGGCAGATAGAGTTTTTAGCTTCTACATAAAACTGTAGTGCTGTATGTTTTCTTGTAGAACAGGACAGATTGTCCTTAAAAAACAAAACATGGTTTTAGTAGTTAAACTGTAACCAAAAATTACACATCATGATTTTGCTGCACTAGTTTAACCATTGTATTTGTGTTAAAGCAGAGGTTATGCAAATGGTAACGAGTGCACAAAAACAAGACTGCTGCAATTTTAATACAGTAAAATCTTGGTTGATTTACGTAGGGGATGTTTTTGTCCACATTGAAGTCCTAAAGAACCATTAAAATAATCTTTTGTAAGCTGTTTGGACAGAACTGTGTGTAGGTATTGTGTGTACACACTAATATTGGGGCGATAGAAACACAAGAAGTCTCGGTAGCACTTTATAATAACTTCACACTATGAATCATTTATTAGGAGAAGCACTTTAGCAAGAAGACCGGCAGCGTATAAGGACATTTAGACTTGTTTTCAGTTGTTAGTGTGTGGTGCTAGAAAGTTTACTCACTGTTTCCTTGTTTACTGTAAGAACTTATGTGTGTATCCCCGACGGTTTAGATTGAAATACAATTAATCAATGTCGCGTGTATCCCCGCCTCAGTTTCTGTTGTTTTATTGTGGGTACTCTCGAGGCGTGTCCAGCTGAATTCAATCAGCAAGCGCTCAGAGGTGTATATAAGCAGCTAGTCTCACCGCGGCACCCTCATGTGAAGGCCGCCTCGTGTGAAGACTGATGAGTGTAAAGACCTTCTACTTGAGTACTTTACTTATTTATTTTACTTTATCTTTGCACTTATTATTGTTTTTATCGCACTTTTCTTATGTGTTTACTAATTCCTGTTGTTACTAACACTCGCAAAGCGATACACTCATTCTGTTCCAGTATGTCCATTAAAACCTTTTCTGTAGTGATTTACATATGCAAAATGCATGTATCAGTGACAAAGTATGTCAGAGGTTGGTCTATTTCCTTAGGCAGGCCTGGCCCTAACCAATTTACCCCTCTAGACAAGATTCCAGGTCGTGCCCCATCGGATCGC